AGATCCATTTTTTGTGCATTGGGGTTTGTGGTTTAAATATGAATAATAACACTAGAAATAGTCTAGGATGCACTGTAGGTAATGGCTAGGATATGGTGCAATGTCCACTGAGAAGTACTTCATAGCTTAAGCATTAAGTGAAGGTCTCCGTGTAGCAGCTGTAAAGGGACAGTCTTTAGTCCTAACTCCTTAGGCAGCCAGCGTTGGGGCCCGGTTGTACTGTGGGTGCACAGGAGAATAGTTCCAGACAAGCCTGGAGGGAGCAATAAGGCTACTAGATGGCTGTACAGTCAGTTCCTAAAGGGCTCAGTCTCTCTAGCACCAGGCAGTAAATACGCACAGCAGCAGCTCACCAGTCCCAGCAATATTGCAGCTCACCATCCAGTCAAACACAGCGATTAGTCCACTCTTTGCTCTGCACCCAGGGGGTGCTGGATGCTGGCACAGCCTCCGTTATTCAACAGTGGCGGTGCACTCTATGGCCTCCCTCCTGGTAGAGGAAGCCATGAAATCTACAGCCTAAGAAAATGCAACTCTCTCCCCTCTCCCCTGCAGCACTTACCTTGTCCTGCGCTCCCGCTATGTCCCCCCTGCAGCGTCACCGGCCATCTCCTCCGTCCTATGCCAGCATCTGTCTTCCTGGTTCCGGTCCCTGCGAGCGTTGGGACGTACAGGACATATGGGGGCCGAAACCGGCGGCAAATTTGAAAAGTTTAAAAACTGACATTTTCTAATACACTAAAATCACATAGTATAACATTCCTGTATCAAACCATTTCACATACATTTTGTCCCGAGTGCTTTGTCCGGCGCCCTGCCTGCATTTTTACTGTTCTTTCTGCCTGGAAACTGAGAAACGTCCATGGCGTCCAAAAAGCGTCCCTTTAGGTCAAAAGCGGTTTTGGACCGGCTAGAGAACAGCGATAGTAAATCAGAACCACTTGCAGAATTGAGTGATAATGATTCGTGGGGGAAATTTGTCATCAGACACTGAAAACGATTCTGCGACTTTGCTCAGTGATGTGCGAACTTGGCGCTATATTTCAAATTTCAGTGTTTTTGGTTTGATTATATTATTGAATTCCATTTATTAATATTATATTATTATTTTTTATGATTATTAAATTATAATTTATGATTTCGTGTTTCAAGTTTTATCCTACCCGGGATGTTTACTAGACTCTTGTTCCGACAGATTTCAGTGTGTTATTCCTAAAAATTACAGCCTACAATAAAAAAACAACATATTTCCATGCAAAAAAATGTACCGCTTTGAGCACAGAAATATGGACATAATCAGAGCACTAGGGAGGTTAATCTAGAGCAAATGTTGCGCTCAATGTCTGCACCTTCCATTTTCCTTCTCATACTCATGTATCACTTATGACATAATCACAGCCCATTATCAGTGTGTATACAAGGTCAGCTTTTATGCCATATATCTGTTTGTGTAGATCAGGTCTTTTCAGATCCGACAAAGAATATATACACATTCAGAGATTGCAGAGTTTTCCCGACTCTTTTTTGTTACCCAAAGTTTCCATGGAGAGAGAACTCATTCCAGGTGAACGCTGAGTATGGGAGAAGAGCCGAGTCTGCTGTCAAGGTTGGAGGTGAATATAAAGCCGACTCCGAGTGGTCGGAATGAAGAGGTTTTGGTTGATATAAGCGATCGGAGCTGCAAACGTATATTTCTACCTGCGTTTGTCTTTGTTGAAGTATAGCCGGCCATTAAATTGAATGGCTTTCCCCAAATAGTGTATTGTTACATTTGTAATTGAGTTCATAGATGTTTTCGTATAATTCCGGCAATCAGATACATTGTGTCATGTGAAGACTCATTTACATTCCATATTGTAATAAAATGCAAGTAAAATGTTCTAATCGTTAGTGGGGTCAAATCGATGTTTGTTTTTGACAGCAGTACGGGAAAATTCCAAGGGGCAGGAAGAAAATATTTTCTCGATCAAACAACTTTTTGGTCAGTGTATGTGGTTCTCGTTCAGAAATTACATTAATTTTAAAATGTTAAAAGCAACGTACAAATTTTCGAACGGCATTCGTATGTGCAAAGAATTTTCGTACGACTTTTCTTACGAATATTCTCAACCGAAAATCGACATGTGTATGGCCAGCTTAACCCTCAAGGGGCATACAATCTAAGGTCCCTAACTTAGTAGGGACATAGTAGGGCCAATTTAGACAGGATCCAATTAACCCAACTGCATGTCTTTGGAGTGTGAGAGAAAACCCACACAGGCACAGGGAGAACATGCAAACTCCAGGCAGGTGGTGCCGTGGTTGGGATTCAAACCAACAACCCTAGTACTGCCAGGTGGAAGTGCTGACCATTTAGCCATTGTGCAACACCTTAGAGCACATGTACACTGCAGCTGACAAACTGACATTCAGGAGCTTTTCTGCGTTTTTTTCAGCAGCCCCTGAACTCCCCCTAATGTGTTCCTATGTGTCCGTGTACACATCGTCGTTTACAGGCAGTTGAGTTTACAGTCATTTTTTTGAACGCACCAAACTTGCGTTCAGGAGTAGATTTTATCAGCGTTTCAAACGCCAAATGCTTGTAAACACATGTAAACGCTTCTAACTGCGTTTATAAGCATTTGCATTTAGAAGCGTTTTTTAACTGTTCCATGTCCAGATGCTGTCCAGAGCCTTTTTTTCATCATCAGAAATGCATGCAAAGTGTTTTCCATGTATTCCAATGGACCCGGTACACCAGCGCAGTCAGTTCCAGGTGTCGCGTGAAGGAAACAATGGTAGAACGCGCCGCATTATGCTCATGATGGGATCCATAGTGAATACAAACAGAAAAGACGGGTCATCTCAACACATACTGCTCTCTCTGCTTCTGCTCTCTCTATTTCTCTCAAAATGTCTGAAATAGTTAATTATTTACTGTTTTTTAGTGCAATCTGGGCATTTTGGAAGGTCTCCTGATGTTATATTTAAAAAAACGCTTCTAAATGCAAACGCACATAAACGCGGTTAAACAGATGTTTTTTAACCTACGTTTTCCAGCAGTCAGTTTCCATCGTTCAGAAGTATTTTCCAATCGTCCCATGTACATTGAGCCTTAGAAGAGTCCAGAGGCAGGGTGCTGCGATGTTTCCAGGAAGCCATGTACAGCACCCTGCTGGCCCCTCCCACCAACCACAATTGCATAGAGAAGCACAGAGACCAAGTGATGACAACAATGATTCGTAAATAAGGCCTGTAATTAAAACAGGTTTTATTTAAACATTTAATTAGTCCAGCCAAAGGTTTTTAGTGGAGAAGGGTTAGAACCCTTACCAGATTTTTACTGCTATCAGAGATTGCCACTTCCTGTCCAAATGACAACGATTATATTATTATTATAATATATATATTTATATAGATCCAACAGTTTGCGCAGCGCTTTACCAGATAGGAGGTGGTAGAAAATCCTCATCGGGGACAGAAATTAAAGGCTGATGAGAGATTTTCCCTCAGCTCCTGTTCCCATGATAACTCAAATATTTTGGATTTCTCATCACTTTCTGTAGCGGAGGAAGCGGTCATCAGGACACATAGAGGGTGAAGTTCCCCTACGGGGACACAGAGTGCAGTGAGAGTTGCAGGAGTATTAACCCCTTTCTGCTCCACCCAAAATTAAACAAAAAAACGGCCATTACATAACACTATAGGGGAGATTTATTAAAGCTGGAGCACTCAGAATCGGGTGCAGCTGTGCATGGGAGCCAATCAGCATCTAACTTCAGCTTGATCATTTACGCTTTGACAACAGAAGCTGGAAGCTGATTGGTTTCTGTGCAGAGCTACACCAGGTTCTGTGTGCGCCAGTCTGAGCACATCTCCCCCAGGGGTGGACTGACCATTTGGAAACTTGGGCACTGCCCGAGGGCCCGGGGTCAGTAGGGGGCCCCATGAGATGCCCCTGGTACCTTTTTCATAGGCTTTTTTGAGTTTGGGCAAGGACACAGGGGCCCCATGATCCCCTATTGCCTGGGGGACCCATGAGTTGTCAGTCCGCCCCTGATCTCCCCGTTTCATTTTCAGCTCATTGATGTGGTATGCTCATCCGACCAGCATGGCACGTCTCCTGTACAGAACTGCATGTACCATAAGGGTCACCATTTCTCTTCCTTTGATGCTGACACCAGGGTCAGGGTAACCACTTCCTCTTATGTAACGCTACAAAAAGTTTATCTTTGTCATCCTCTATACAGAACATTATTATCAGACTCTCCATTCTTCCAGACTTCAACAACCTCGTACAATGGGGTCTTATAAGATGGTTTAGCCAAATGGTTCCAGGCCTCCCAAATGGCAGAACCCCCTTTAGAACCAATATCGGTAGGCCAGAAACTGCACTTTCATACAAGGACAAGGAGTCAGGGCAAATTTCCCAGTATGTGCACAGGTGGATAGTTCCTAGGTCTATTCCAAAAAAGGTTTAGTTTCTAGGCCTCCAGAAAGAGAAACCTAACGCCCCCCTTATGTTGTCACTCTATGGAATGCTGCTTGCCCATGAACACTCAGATATCCCCTAATTTGTCTCTGTATGAGAAAAGGACCTAGGTCCCCAGTGCCCAACCTGCACCCTTTGGCATTTTTTGTGCAGCCCTCAGGGCCCCTGCAGGCATCCATCTGCGTTTCCCCAGTGATTTCTATCAGTGTCATGTAATATGTTTGCAGTCTCTGACCATCCCTTGTATCATGACTGCAGTCTCTGACCATCTCCTATACCATGTCCGCAGTCTCTGACCATCTCCTATACCATGTCCACAGTCTCTGACCATCTCCTATACCATGTCCACAGTCTCTGACCATCTCCTATACCATGTCCACAGTCTCTGACCATCTCCTATACCATGTCCGCAGTCTCTGACCATCTCCTATACCATGTCCACAGTCTCTGACCATCTCTTGTGTCATGTCTGCAGTTTCTGGCTATCCCTTGTATCATGTCTGCAGTCTGTGACCATCTCTTGTGTCATGTCTGCAATCTCTCACCATCTCTTGTATCATGTATGCAGTCTCTGACCATCTCCTGTAGTATGTCTGCAGTCTCTGACCATGTCTTGTGTCATGTCTGCAGTCTCTGACCATTTCTTGTATCATATCTGCAGTCTCTGATCGTCTGTTGGATCATGTCTGCAGTCTCTGACCATCACATGTATCATATCTGCAATCTCTGACCATCTCTTGTATCATATCTGCAGTCTCTGACCATCTCATGTACAATGTTTACAGTCTCTGACCATCTCATGCATCATGTCCACTGTCTCTGATCATCTCTTGTATCATGTCCGCACTCTCTAACTATCTCTTGTATCATGTCTGCAGTCTCTGACCATCTGTTGTATCATGTCTGCAGTCTCTGATCATCTCTTGTATCGTATCTGCAGTCTCTGACCATTTCATGTATCATGTCTGCAGTCTCTGACCATCTCTTGTATAATGGACCTTGCTTTGTGCACTGGTGCGTGGTCATGTTGGAACAGGAAGGGGCCATCCCCAAACTGTTCCCAGAAAGTTGGGAGCATGAAATTGTCCAAAATGTCTTGGTATGCTGATGCCTTGAGAGTTCCCTTCACTGGAACTAGGGGGCCAAGCCGAACCTCTGAAAAACAACCCCACACCATAATCCCCCCTCCACCAAACTTTACACTTGGCACAATGCAGTCAGGCAAGTACCGTTCTCCTGACAACTGCCAAACCCAAATACTTCCATTGGATTTTCAGACAGAGAAGTGTGATTGGTCACTCCAGAGAACACATGTACACTGCTCTAGAGTTCAGTGGCGGCGTACTTTACACCACTGCATCCGACGCTTTGCATTGCACTTGGTGATGTAAGGCTTGGATGCAGCTGCTCAGCCATGGAAACCCATTCCATGAAGCTCTCTACACACTCTTGTTGTGCTGATCTGAAGGCCACACAAAAGTTTGGAGGTCTTTAGCTATTGACTCTGCAGACAGTTGGCGACTTCTGCGCACTGTGTGCTTCAGCATGTGCTGACCCAGCTGTTATGTGATGTGGCCTACCACTTGGTGGCTGAGTTGTCATTGTTCCCAGTTGCTTCCACTTTGTTATAATACCACTAACAGTTGAGCGTGGAATATTTAGTAGCCAGGAAATGTCACGGATGGACTTATTGCCCAGGTGACAACCTATCACAGGACCACGCTTGGAGTCACTGAGCTCCTGAGAGAGACCCATTCTTTCACAAATGTTTGCAGAAGCAGTCTGCATGCCTAGGGGCTTGATTTTATACACCTGTGACCAGGGAGGTAATTGGAACACCTGAATCCAATGATTTGGAGGGCTGGCCCAATACTTTTGGCAATATAGTGTATATATATCTATATATATAGATATATATATATATATACAGTGCTCAGCATAAATGAGTACACCCTAACAAATTTGTCATAAAACCTTTCCTTTCAGAATCAACATTTCCTATGGGACACTATTCTACCAAATACTCCCACAAATGCGGGCCATTGATTGCAAGCACGATTTGTTAATTCGCACACACAAAAAAGTATTTTTCCTAACAATTTCATTCAAGACCATGTTGCAAAAATGAATACACCCCAATGAAAGTCTTAGGAGCAAAGCTAAATTTTAGACAACAAAATCCTAATTAACAAGAATTCTACTACAGGTGAGTCTAATTATTCATTAAACAGATGTCCAGCAGACAGCTGATTATAAAAGGGCGTTACGTAACAAAGAAAACCCCTTCCCATTTCATGCTGTCAGCAATGGCACCACATGGAAGAGAAATGTCACAAGGCCTGAGAAAGAAAATAATTTCTTTGCACAAGAAATGTGAAGGCTACAAGAAGATCAGCAAAGCTTTACTTATCAGTCAGAATACTGTAGCAAAAGTGATACAAAAACTTAACAAAGAAGGAACAAGGATCTGAAACCATCTCACAGAGGCCTCCAGGCCGTTAACATGTTGACTTGAGCTTCTTCTCATGAGAAGGGTTGAAGAAACTCACCATGCAAGTTCACTGCAGTTAGCTAAAGATATGGAAAGCCAAACTGGGGTGATTGTTTTCTGCGAAACGATATGGTGTACACTGCAGAGGAATGGCATGCATGAGTGTCGTCTATGAAGGAAACTTCTCCTAAAGCCCATGCAAAAAAAACCCACCTAGAATTTGCCAGTGTCCTGTATGGCGTCACAAAGGTGAGGAGTACAAAGAAAAATGCACGGCGCCTACAGTGAAACATGGTGGTGGCAGTGTCCTTCTGTGGGGCTGCATGAGTGCTGCTGGTGTCGGGGAGCTGCATTTCATTGATGGTGTCATGAATTCACAGATGTACTGCTCTATATTGAAAGAGAAGATGCTACCATCACTCCGTGCCCTTGGTCGTCGTGCACTTTTCCAACATGACAATGATCCAAAACACACATCTGAGGCTACTGTTACATTTCTGAAGAAGAACAGAGGGAAAGTGATTCAGAGGCCAAGTATGTCTCCTGATTTGAACCCAGCTGAACACCTATGGGGAATTCTGAAGAGACAAGTAGAGCATAACTCTCCATTCAGCATCCAGGCTCTAAAAGAGGTCGTTCTTGAAGAATGGAAAAAGATCGATATTGCAATATGTCACCAACTTGTTCATTCCATGCCTAGAAGACTTGGTGCTGTCCTTACAAATCATGGAGGTCATACAAAATACTAGAAGTGGTTTTCGTTGTGGGGTGTATTCATTTTTGCAATTTGAGTAAAACTGAAGATTTTGTAATCTAAGTGATATTACTAACCTTACTTTCATGTAATGAGCTAAACAAATGTTCTATAAAACAAAAGTTTTGTCAAAATATTGGAACTTGTTCCTGTGTTTATTGAGATATTGATTACATTTTACTTTTCAAAAGGGGTGTACTCATTTATACTGAACATTGTGCATGTATATACGTGTGTTTGTATATATATATATATATATATATATATATATCTAATATAATATATATTTAAGTTAGGTAAAGTGTAGCATGGTGGAGTAATTGTCAGTCAAACAATCACATCACCGTCGACTAGCCTGGTAATGCAGGGGTATTACCTGTTGATACTCAAGTGGTTAATTAAAGCATGTCATAAATATTGCAGCAAAACAAGTCTTCCAGCATACCAGGATACAAGACCATGTGGGCCTACTACCTATGCAGGCAGATACTAGTTTCCTTGTACCATGCTGTAGGGTGGATTATAGATAGGGGTTGGCAATTACCACTAACACCACAATAGTCAGTCAGGTCATGTCGCATGAGATTGGATTTGTTACACTTTATTCTCCTTGTGCTCCAATTTAGAAACCAAGTGTTCCTTACAGTACTGGGAAATAAATAACCAAGACTAAAAGAATTCTTCCTCCCACCTTGTAATATTTTGTACATGACAATCAGGTTTAAAGGAGAACTCCACTGCAATGAAAAGGTTTTGGTAACGGGAAAATAATGGAAACGCCAAGAAGAACAAGGTAATTTTACCTCCTTTCCTTGACATAGAAGAGTCTCTAATTTACAGTCCAATGTCTGCTACCAGGCAAATTGTACCCACCAGCCTTCAAGGGTCCATGTCACCAACTTAAAAATGTTGAAGTATACTTTTAATAAAACCTCTTCCAAAGTTGCACTGCAAGAAAACTGCATTGATGTGAATGGGGCCCCCGATAGGAAACCATGTTAAATGTCGCTATGTGTCATGTGGTCCTGTGTTTCTGAAAACACGCTAAAAAAAACACACAGGTGTGAACCTAGAAGGTGGGAACATGGTCAGTGAAGGATTGGGGAATTGTGTGGGGGAGGCTGGCACAGACAGGAAAAACACAGTAGTAGGTCCTCTTTCAGAATACAGTGCTGGAGCCTCAAGCAGACAACAATCATCAGATCTATCAAGAGCACCTGTCACTTTGTTGGGCTTTAAATTCAATGTAAAGCCCAACTTTTTGATCTCTTCCCACCCCCAATTAGAACACTTCTACACCTTTAAAAAAAATCTGTATACATACCTATTTTTTCCTGGTGCTGTGATGTTACAGGTCCTCTTCTTCCCCCATTGGTCAATTGATCAGCAATGCTGCAATATATCTCATCACTTTGTGCAGCATTCACCTGTGAGTGGGGGCGGAGCCTTGACACCCTGGCCTTGCAGGAAGTGTTTTAATTGCAATATTTTTCCTGGAAGTTATGGGATTCAATGTGGAGAAATGAACACCTACCATGGTTTTCTAAAACCACATGGAACTTTTCCTTGGGAACCTTTCCCTGCTATCAGTTTCAGAAGCGTGTTTGCATGTGCCGGTTGTAGCTCTGGAAAAGCAGGCAGCCAGGAATGCGTTTGACAGTTCTGCCCGTAGAATGGATAAGATAGGAAATTTTCTTCTCCAGCTCGTCTTTGATCCTCCAGGATATGCTCCTGTGCTTTTGGGATTTGCTGAATTGGATTTGCCAGCACTTGGCCTATAAATAGAAAAAAAACCAGAGGAACAAAAGCTTCCACGTTCCATGGTGACAATGCGTTCCGTCGTCGTCATATCATATCAACACGCCATCACCACTATACACAGGAGATGATGGTCCTAATTATGTATCTGTCTGACTTTTCTATTTATTATGTATAGGGAAACGATGGGGTTTTTTTTATTTGTTTTTAGATATACATGTGAAAGAAAAAAAGTATTAGTGAACACTCACCTATACACTGTGTATATATATATATATAGAGTATCTCCTTTCTCCAATCCCCCAGACCAGGGGTCTCCAATTTTTCTATACAAAGGGCCAGTTTACTGTTTTTTACACCTAAGGGGGGACGCCAGACTGTTACTGGTGGGAGTAGAAAATTCCCCATCATTTGCATTAGTGGGATGAATACAGCCACATTGTTGGTACCAGGAGGATGAATAATGCCCCATCCATGGCATCAGTGGAGGAATGGAGGATGGTGCCTCATCGTTGGTGTCCATGGGAAGAAGAGTGGCCCATTGTTGGTGTCAGTGGAGGAAGAGTGCCCCATCATAGGTGCCGCTGGGAGGAGGAAGGCTCATTCAGTGGTGTCAGTGGGAGAAATAGTGCCCCATCATTGGTATTAGTAGGAGGAATAGTGCCCCATCATTGGTATTAGTGGGAGGAATATTGCCCCACTATTAGTATCAGTAAGAGGAATAGTGCCCCATCATTGGTATCAGTGGGAGGAATAGTGCCCCATCATTGGTATCAGTGGGAGGAATAGTGCCCCATCATTGGTATTAGTAGAAGGAATAGTGCCCAATCATTGGTATCAGTGGGAGGAATAGCGCCCCATCATTGGTATCAGTGGGAGGAATAGTGCCCCATCATTGGTATCACTGGGATGAATAGTGCCCCATCATTGGTATCAGTGGAAGGAA